AAGGGTAAAGATTGTATAGATAGGCCAGGACAGAAAAAGGAGTAATAATGTAACCGTTTTCAGCAGAACGTTAGTCGAAGGATTTACTTGACTTGTCGAGTAGCTTGATGCGGACAATGGCAAAACTCACGGATGATGCCGACTACGATGCCGGCAAACCTTTGAGAATGTACCAAATCCAATGTCTGATGCTAAGAATCATGAAAAACACTATGACAGACAACTTCGAACTAGGTGAGTTCTACTAAGTCGCCCTGACAACAAGACCAAGTTGTGACAACATGCTCAACCAACTTATAGAAATCGAGAGGAGACTGCGACGATACCAGATGCCACACCATCTTGGTCTTCATATCTTCAATTGAAAGTGATTTCATTACTCATTTTGTATTGAATTTTTTCCCCTCAATTACTTATTAAGTTTAACTTAGATATGAAGACCAAGATGGTGTTGTCTTCGATTTCGTTTCAGTCTTCTTTCTCTGCATTTATTTGGTTCATCTTAGTTTTTGCAACTTAGTCTCATTCTGAAATAAACTTTACCGCATGCAATGTCATTGCTGTCATGCGCTCTTCCAGCATTTTAACAGTGCATTGGTGTATTCTCAGACCTTTAATCTGATAAATGTCCTATCTATTGGTTTCCTATCCTCATCACTCACTTCCGCCTTAATTTGTCAGGTATCCTCCCTAATTCCATTTTACCCTTTTTTATTATGTGCATACTCTTGGGTGGGTATTTCTAAGCGTGATTACCTTAATTACCGGTCTTCCGGGCTTCTCGATCCTTCAACTCACTTCATCATGTGTTCCATTAGCTATTTTCTCTATGGTAACTCCATCTACTTGGTCTCAGCAATCGCATCCCCATATTTATGAAGGCCTTAACAAGGTCGGCCACGAAACTGTTATTTTCACACGTATTGTTCTCCTATTTCTATCCACTCATCCCATCCCTCTTCTTTGTAACCTTTGGTGTGGAAATCTGTCACTTTAATTACCTATTTATGTTTTTTTTTAAAACTCTTTTTTCCTATTATCGACACTTAGTATAACTTTTTGTTCTTGACAAACGTTGTATCTACACTTCCTTTTAAATACGGCTGTGTATGCCTTATAATAATATGTTTCATGATGACACGTTGAATTAATTGGAATTCTCTATAAATAAATCTGTGTACTTCGAGACAAACCAGATTTTCTCTCTAGTCTTTGCTGAAAAATTCGAGTTGGTTTGCAGTCAATCTGGATCCCGAACTTACTAGGACTTCGATGACACCACTACAACTTCGAAAGTGGATTCTTTGGTTATATTCCTTAAACTGCAATCGTCTTCTTTTGGATTCCCTCTTGTGACTTTTCACTTTGCTCAAGTTTCATCCTTATTGTTGAGCTTACTTTCATTTTGAGTAAAAGTGTTGTGTGAAGAAATTCGAAGGTCGGTTCCACCAGAAGACGACGGCGGATTCCTCTTGACTGGCTGTCGATTGGCTTTACTGTAAGATTCATGCTGACGCTGTTTCCAAGGCAATCTCAATCGATTCCGGTGCTAAGCTTTCGCTCGTCATATGACAAACATCATCAGAGCAAGGTATCATCGTTACAACCAAATTCAAGCTAACAAGCCGGTGAGTTTTCTTGACTCGTAAGCTTGAATTTTGTTGTGACGATGTCACTTCGCTCTGATGATGTCCGTCATATGACGGATGAAAACTTTGCACGTTTTCACCGGAATCGAAGGAGATTGCACCGGAAACAGCGTCAGTATGAATTTTCCAGTAAAGCCAATCGACAGCTTATCAAGAGGAATCCGCCGTTGTCTTCTGGTGGAACCGACCTTCGAATCTCTTCACCCAGCACTTTTACTCGAAATGGAAGTAAGCTCAACAATTATGAAACAATAGATTTTTCGAAACCCAACTTTTCTTCGCATATATTTCATCCTAATGCCATACGTTGTCAGTCCAGTATCTTCTCAAGTTTATCGAGACAATAAGCTATACTTAACTTCCTGTGCATATTTCACAGAGTGTGATTAGCGAAATTGCCTCACTTTTTGGCGATAATCTCAACTTTTGTGACGATAGTTCGATGAGCCTATGCGTCTACGGATAGATTGAATCCATTTGCTGCAACTTTCCTGCCACTCGGTACAAGATAATGCACAAAATTCAATTCAAAACTACACCTCCAAGGTAGCCTCATCTTTGCTACCTAGTGTTGTCCGATGGAGAACATGGTTACAGTAAAATACATGTAATTCAAAATGCACTACGCGGCTTTTCTATGGGATATTTGTAGCGACTTGATTGTATAAAAGTAGAGCCATGTTTAATTACACCAAAATAGTGGAAGCAGAAATGGAAACCGTTGAGAATGTCAATATATAACAGGAGGACGACAAAAGATCAGTATTAGAATTATTTTTTGCTTCTCATGCCTAATTCCCACGGCGTCCTTTGCGGTCTAGATGTGCCCAGCCAGCATTTTCCTGGTACGGTCTCAAGGAAACTTTTCCGTTATCCTTCCGGTTCGCAGGTCACCCTTCCTTATTTAAGCCGTAAATTTACTATGTTGCCTTTGGTAGAAATGTATGCAGTTTTTTTCCGTCTTACAACCTCACCCTGTTGAATGTTCCGGTCCTTATTTTTGCGTTCTTTCACTCAAACCAACAGCCTAGATGCATAATCCGAACTCAAGACAGGATCACCATTGAATTCTGTAGGCCAAGCCACATGATATATGCAAAGAATAGTTGGGTTTCAAGGAATCGCTTGTTTCATAATTGTTGAGCTTACTATCATTTCTAGTTAAAGTGTTGGGTGAAAAGATTCAAACGTCAATTCCACCAGAAGACGACGGCGGATTCTTCTTGACGAGCTGTCGATTGGCTTTACTGGAAGCTTCATGCTGACGCTGGTTTCGAGGCAATCTATTTCGATTCCGGTGAAAAACTGCTAAGCCTTCGTCCGTCATATGACGAACATCATCGGAATCTCTTCACCCAACACTTTCACTCGAAATAGAAGTAAGCTCAACTAGCCACTTGAGTCAAACGTGAGTCCGAGCGATTCACTTACACTCGAACTATGTTCCCGCCCCAATATTTAGTCTTCTAAGGCGGCATCAAAGAGCCTGACCATAAGAGGATCCGGTGGCAGTGCCGTCTTCATGCTTTAATGCATATCCAAATTTGCATG